AGGCGAAATCGACAATTCCAAAGTCCACTGAAAAGTTTAATTGAAAATCACATGGTCACCTCCGCCTCTTCCTCCCCCTATTCCTTCTCTTTTTCTTTCTCGTCCTTTCCACCGCAAACCACAAACGGAATCCAAAAATCAGAAGACCGAAAGGCCGGAGGGAAAAAATGATTCGATTTTGGAGAGCAGAGCAGTCGATGGTGGAAAAAATACAATAAGAATTACAAATGCAAAAGATAGGGGTGGGACTGTGGGAGAGTTTTTTTGTAAAACGGGGTGGGAGAGTTGAGAAATTATTCCATACATCAGCTGTAACACAACAGCACTCATGATGTGGTGCAGGGAAAAAATGTCATTCCTACTTAAAATTTTACCTCGTCGTCAATCATACTTAATAGATTTTTAGTTAGCTAACTTTACTCTTGTTTAAAATTTTCACCAATTTCGTCCAATCGGTCCATTTTCCGTCCAAATTAACGGATCTCCGTTAGTTTTTAAATAAATAATAAATTTAATTACAAAAATACCTCAGTAGTTTTTAAAAATTTTAAAAATAACCTCTAAAATATATAAAAATAACAAAACAGTCCTTTTTTACTTTTTTATTTTATTTTTCTCTATTTTGTTCCATTTCTCTCAACTACTTTTAATGACCATAAAAGTATATTATATGAGTTTTAAAAAAATATTTATTTATTTGCAAACTCTACCGTAAAAATTAATTTTTGTATAGTTGTAACCCATTATTGTATTTATATAAGCATGTTAATTTTTTTAATAATATAGTTTAGCAATAAAGACACTATTTTTTTTGATTTATTTTATTCTTCCTAACGTAAAGACTAAAGACATTTAAATGAAACTAATATTCTACATAAAAATAAAATATTAGTTCAAATAAAAAAATATTAATATATTTTAGTGGATTACAATTTCACTCAAGAAACTATAACTTGCATTAATATAATTCAAAAAAATAAATAAAATATTAAATAATTAAGACACTATTTTTCTGATTTATTTTATTCTTCCTAACATAAAGATTAAAAATATTTAAATGAAACTAATATTTCACATAAAAATAAAATATTAACTCAAATAAAAAAATATTAATATATTTTAGTGTATTACAATTTAACTCAAGAGACTATAACTTGCATTAATATAATTCATCAAAAAATAACTAAAATATAAAATAATTAAAACCTTAAAAAAATCCTCCAAACATAAGTTTTCCTTCTTGAATCTAAAACCTATTTTCTATCACAACAACTTATTACCATATTGTTACCTTCATTCATTTATTTTAAACTAAAATCATATAGAATAAGCTAGTAAGACTTCCTCTATAGTTAGATATATTAGCATCTCAAATAATTATTATAGAATGTTAAATCCTCGCATTGATAAGTATAAAAATATTTTTTATAAATTATAATATGTCATGTAGTATCTCTAGTTAAATTGTAATACACTAAACTATACTAATATATTATTTTTTATTTGACCTAATATTTATTTTTATGTGAAATATTAGTTTCATTTAAATATTTTTAATCTTTATGTTAGGAGAATAAAATAAATAAAAAAATAGTATCTTTATTGCTAAATTATATTATTAAAAAAATTAACATGCTTATATAAATACAATCATGTGTTACAACTATACAAATATTAACTTTTATGGTAGAGTTTGAAAATAAATAAATATTTTTTTAAAACTCATATAATATACTTTTATGTTCATTAAAAGTAGTTGAGAGAAATGGAACAAAATATAGAAAAATGAAATAAAAAACTAAAAAAGGACTATTTTGTTATTTTTATACATTTTAGGTGTTATTTTTTAAATTTTTACAAACTACTGGGATATTTTTGTATTTAAATTTATTATTTTATTAAAAAAACTAACGGAGATCCGTTAATTTGGACGGAAAATGGGCCGATTGGATGAAATTGGCGAAAATTTCAAACATTAGGGTAAAATTGGTTAATCGAAAATCTATTGGGTATGATTGACGACGAGGGCAAATTTTTGGATAGGAACAATATTTTTTCCTGTGGTGCAGCAATCCAATCCCCAAAGCACATGTGTAATTTCTAATACTCACAATAATTCTTTTAATTTTTATTTTTATTTAACTTTTGCCCCATAATTATCAATTCCATATATATATCTCCAAGATTCACGCGACCGCTGCTTCTAACTTCCATCGACGTCAGAAACCCAGAAGTGATGCAATTTCAATGGCGACCTATCCAGAAATAAGGGGGAATAAATTCACTAATTCTATCTTGGATGAACAATTGTTCCTTCTCTAATATAGCTATTTTTTTAAGGTTCTTCGATCCACGAGCTATTTTATTTTGGATGGCATTTTCAGATCTAATGGATGGAGGTTCAATATGCTCTAAAATCAATTTCTTTCCTCTGAAACTGAATTTGCTATATGGAATTTTTGTTCTTCAACAAAATTTCTTAGGCACCCAAGCAATTTTTTTTCCCTCCTTCATCACATTATATGCTTCGAAAAATTTAGCCACCCTTACCTCAAAGAGTATATTCTTCTCCTTCGTCTTTTTTTCATCATCTTCATCTGCCTTTTTCCTGCTTGACTTCCTCTAAATAATAGATTATCAATTTTACAATGACTTTGAAATATTATTAGTTTTGTTCCTTTTTGTCTTTTTCATCTACTTGGCAAGTTTCAGTCCCTTTTTGCCAGATACATTTTTCTATTAGTATTCCGGTGTTCATGGTCGGAGCAACGACATGTCCAATCTTTAGAAAAATATACAGTAGGATTTGATAATTTTAGGTTTTATTTAAAAAATCGTATTTTTTTATTTTAGGCAGCAGGTTTAAAGTAAAATATTATTTAAAAGGTTTTTATGTTTTTCCGTGTTATTATAGGATTGGGTTGCTGTACCACATCATGAGTGCTGATGTGGTACAGTGGGTGCATGGAATAATTTCTCGGGAGAGTCGGCTAAAAAAGTCTTACCACTCTCTCTCCCACAAAAAAACTTATTGGGTAGTATCCAAGTTTTTAGTGTAGTAAGTATTAGCACTTCCTATATTGGTGTTTTAACTTCAGTAAAAATTATCTCTTTTCTCACAAAATTACTACTTTGCTCTATTTATTGTGTCTGGCTGCACAATCCAATCTTACGTGGTACAAACAACCCTACCAGACTACCTCCACATAGTACTATTAGCAATTTTTTTGGGGTTAAAACTATTTAGACCCACAAATCCTGCCCGAATCCATATCTAACCAGGTAAAGTTCGAATCTTGATCCAACTTGTCAAGGGATCCAGGAATCTAAAGGTGCCACATAGGATAAAATCCTATGTGTCATTTTTCTATTGGTTGAGTCAAAAAATATTTACAACAATTATACTAACAGTCCTTCAAATTTTATGTAAATAAAGTTTTATCAAATGGCATTTAAAACTATAGTTTAAAATAGGAAAATAAAAATTAATTAAATTTAATGGACGGGATTAATGGACATTAATGCACCAGAATTATTCCCTCCCAAAAATAATTCCTCCCAAAAATAATCCCCAATTAGTCTTAATTGATTGATTTAAATTATAAGTTCAAAGGGATAAGGCATTTATTATTTTCAACATTAATTCACCGGATAAAAATTTTGACCCCAACCAATTCGAATAAAAAAAAAATCCCTCTATAAAATAATCCCTAAATACCCACAACTTTTGCTAATCTATAGTATTATACTAAGAGAGAAAACAAAAAAGAATTCTAAAGGTGACACATAAGATAAAATCCTACGTGTCATTTTTCTATTGGTTGAGTCAAAAAATATTTACAACAATTATACTAATAGTCCTTCAAATTTTATGTAAATAAATTTTTATCAAATGGCATTTAAAACTATAGTTTAAAATAAGAAAATAAAAATTAATTAAATTTAATGGACGGGATTAATGAACATTAATGCACCAGAATTATTCCCTCCCAAAAATAATCCCTCCCAAAAATAATCCCCAATTAGTATTAATTGATTGATTTAAATTATAAGTTCAAAGGGATAAGGTATTTATTATTTTCAACATTAATTCTCCAGAATTTTTTACCCCAGCCAATCCGAATAAAAAAAAATCTCTCTACAAAATAATCCCTAAAATCACTACTTGATTGATTTAAAACCTAAGTTCAACGTGCGGGAAAGTGAGAATTCTTTAGTGATTAAAAACTAATCAAAGTTAATTGAAAAAGACTAATCAACATTAATGCAATGGAAGTCATTTTCCTACCAATCTTATCCCTTAATCAACGTGACATTATCATCTTTATTCCATAGTTATGAATTTTACTTTAGTTACTGGTTATGATATCTCATTCAGACATTCACTATAAATATCCACTTCGATCTAATTCTAACATGTACAATGACAACCGGTGAAACACTGAAGCGTTCCGGTGTTCATGGTCGGAGCAATGACATGTCCAATCTTTAGAAAAATATACAGTAGGATTTGATAATTTTAGATTTTGTTTAAAAAATCATATTTTTTGATTTTAGGCAGCAGGTTTAAAGTAAAATATTATTTAAAAGGTTTTTATGTTTTTCCGTGTTATTATAGGATTGGGTTGCTGTACCACATCATGCGGGTGCATGGAATAATTTCTCAGGAGAGTTGGCTAAAAAAGTCTTACCACTCTCTCTCCCACAAAAAAACTTATTGGGTAGTATCTAAGTTTTTAATGCAGTAAGTATTAGCACTTCCTATATTAGTGTTTTAGCTGCACAATCCTACGTGGTACAAACAACCCTACCAGACTACCTCCACATAGTACTATTAGTAATTTTTTTTGGGCTAAAATTAATTAGACCCGCAAATCCTGCCCGAATCCATATCTAATCAGGTAAAGTTCGAATCCAGATCCAACTTGTCAAGGGATCCAGGATATAGACTATATATACAATCAGATACGCATCATGCTTTCCCAAATTCCCCAAAAGCACCCAACCGGCCCTGCCAAGAAATTAAGAACATAAATCCAGTATTTTCAAAATAAATTTTTCTGCAATTTCCATTGAATCATCCTAGGATCTGCGAACTAGATCGGGAAATATCGTTTCTTTCCTCAGTTTGGTTCACAATCAATGGAACACAGTAGAGATTGGTCCGGCCTAATTCACGAGATGTTGGTTGAGATAACAAAACATATATCAGTTGTGGAAGATTTCATGGCTTTCCGAGGGGTTTGTGCTTCTTGGCGATCCGCGGCAACAAAGGATAAGTTTGTCAATTTGTCGAGGGGTGTTCCGTTGCTTATGCTCGCAGAGAAAGAAGACAGTGACGAACGTGAATTTTACAGTCTCTCGAGAAGAAAGACGGCTATGCGGATACCACTCCCGGAGGCAAAGGGTAGACGGTGCATGGAAGCCGGATTTGGTTGGTTCCTAACGGTTTCAAGTTCAGGTGAGATTAATTTATTGAACCCTTTTTCTCGTTCTCAGATCCAACTCCCCGGCTGTACAACTTTCCCTGATTCTGAGGAAAACCACTACCATGAGGATGTTCGGACATTTTCGTTTATAAGCAGAGCGGCTCTGTCCGCAAATCCCACGCACACTTCAGATATTGTTGTAGCTGTAATTTACTCTGCTGGTTCCCACTCTCGGGCTTTTGCCTTAGCGTTTTGGAGGACAGGTGACCTGATGTGGACAGGTATAGAGCCAACCTGTACGAATTCCAAGTATTGGTGGGATGTTGGTTTCTATAGCGGAAAGCTTTTTGCAATTAATGCAAGGGGCCAAGTTTTCGGGTGGGATCATGGATCCTCCTCATCCATTGTGACCCGCAATAAATCCTCCTCATCACATGAGAGGGTTGCAATTGCCAATCTTTATCTGACGCTGGATTTCGATATTTTATTATATCGGGCAGCCTATCTATTAGAATCATCAAGCGGCGAATTACTGGTTGTCACCCGGGACGGTGTGACCGTAGAAGACGAGGATTGGAGTTATGGTGTTACTAATTTTAAGGTCGTTCGATTGGATTTGATAAACTGCGTATGGGAGGAGATTACTACTTTGGGGTTGGATGCCATCTTTGTTGGCCATAGTCTTGGCATCTCTGTTGTGGCTTCTGCTTTTCCGGATGCAATCAAACCCAATTGTATTTATTTTTCAGACGATTGCGTTGAAGCCTATTCTTACTCTCAAGAACGTGGAAAAGGAGGAGGCCGGCTTGGTCTAGGGGGTGGTGAGGATATGGGAATCTACAATTTTGAAGACGGAAGTATCGATCGATTTAGTGGCATCGAATCTCTTAGTTTTATATGCCCGCCCGTTTGGATATCATTCTAATAGTAGTATTCTAATATTTATTAGTATTGGTTTTAAGTGGGGCTTGGCCAGTGCTTATCTTAGCCGGTAAGACCAGACAAACAGATGAGCAAGGAAACCAGGCCGGAATCCAAACCATCACCCTGGCTGATACCATTCATCCAAGAGCTATGCCATGTCAGCCAGCTACATGATCAAAATCTCTATCCATTCTTAATTAAAATATCAATAATCGAGATGCATGGAAAAGTTTCACCCGACTCTCAAGCCTGTCTGGAATCCACAACTTATTGTGCATCATGTGGCCTCTTTTTCCCCTTAAACAATTCATCATAACGGGGACTTTTCCAGTCCAATGCACTTATTGTTGAGTTTTCCGACTGAACTCGGAATCGGAACCAATCTCAAATCATCGTATTTTAATTAAAAGAGAAGAAGGAGATAGAGCTTCCATGTATAATTTATGTAAACAAAAGCCAAATGTTTGATTCAGACAAAGGATTTACTCAGACATTGTCTGAGTACTTCAAACTATAAATTAAAACAAACTTAAAAGAAAGATTACCTTTGAAAGCATGTATAATTCTTCAAACCGTTTGGATATCTCCCTGCAGTTTGGACATCGTTTTAGGGTAGGTTATTATTTGTTTTGTTACTAATAAATATACTCACAACCCTAAATGTTTTCTGTTTGGTTTTTGTGAATTATTTAGATTTTCTTGTCTCCTGTATTTTTTTTTTTATCGATCTCCATTTTGTGCTGTGTTTTTTTTTGGGGATTTTACACTTTTTTAATGTTTTTCGCACTTAAAGAATTTAATAATATTAAGTATGCACTCTCACAATCGTTTATTTGTACTAAAAGTAAAATTTTAAATTAGACAATTTGAAACGAACGGAGTATTTAAAATGTTTTCAAAGTCGCAATATATATTTGGCAAAGTTTGCTATTTCTCGCTCACCGAAAACCGTATTTGTATCTTGGGCTGCAATAATATATGCATCAAAGAGATCATACTCATTTGTTAGAGCACGTGCACGGGAGTCTCTTCCTAGATCTAGTATCACCTGGCTATAAATCCCTTTCTAATAGTTTAGGTGCCTCTTTAAAAAATATCTACATTGGAGTGTAATGCACTTTTTTTTTCTTTTTTTCTTTTTTTGTATGGGAAGAATGCAGAAATTAAAATAACGCAATGCATTAATCAACTTTTGATTATTCACCGAGAGAGTGGGATCAATGAATTTTTTTCTTCATTAAAGAGCAGCAAGAACAAGTAGTTAATGCAGGCTTAATTCTACAATTGTCAATCTGAAATCAATTATATTCCTTGTCTAAGGTCACTCAATTAAACTAATTATAGTAACTTTAAAAAGTAATTATTTATTTATCAATTTCATAGGCAGCCAGTGTTCCAATTTTACAGATTGGTGCAACACTCTTTTTTCTAATTAATGAGAAATTTGAATAATTTGTCGAAACATAAATAGGATGAGAAGTGCACATCATATTATGATAATGGAAAGATGTATCCTAATCTGCTGATTTAGTTTAAAGAATACAGGAATGAAAAGATTGAATACGGCTATAAATTCTTTCCAACTTAAAATAAGTCTACTCAATTCGTTATTCTCTTGTCATGTTTGATTGCTTTCTTGAGAGTGGACATCATCAGCGATGGTGTCACTGTCATCTTCATGGGAGTGAGAGGGAGACCAATATATCAATTCCAAGACTTCACCTCTTCAAAGCTTCGCCATGGACTAATTTGCAGAGTCGGTAACATCACCATCTAATCCATTTATTTCCGAGTTTCAGCTAGACGAAGCTTGTCGTGACCGGGTTTCTTTAGGAAAGGATTCAAATCCATGTCTACCAATGGAGGTACTGAATTTTTGGGTTCAATTGCTCCAAATCAGAAAAAACCATACTGCACTGAGATTTCAAAGTTGAAAACAATTGAAACCTGTTTGTGTCCTCCATTCCGACTATTAGACCAGACATTGCTTTGATCAAATTCAACGACTTTCATCTCAGTTTTTGCAATAGCGACATACTATAGCCTGAAATCAGAGGAGCAACAATGTATTAAGCCCCAACAGCTGAAGCAAAAGAATATGTGTAAGCGCTCATTTCCAGTTGCTTATGTGCATACTCTGCAGAGCTCTACGCATACAAATTAAGTGCGTCAAAGTAGATCCTATAGACTAATAAATTGATCAAAAACTGGGATCATCAAATGTGTATATAGGTCGAGTTTAGAAACAACTCCAGAAAAATAAAACAGAAAAGAAGGAACGAAACAACAAACCACTCGATTAATATTCTCTTAAGAAACCGACATCTTATGTTCGATACTGCATTCTATGTCCACGTCATCCATATCTTAGAGGAGAATGATATGGTAATGGACGTACATGAGAATAAAGAAGAGTTCCATAAGAGAGGAAAAGCTGGCATAGAGAACAGAAAGATAATTAGGGTTCCAGGATTTTTTGCACCTCAGTAACAGAAGTATTTACAACAACAACATACCCAGTATATTCCCAATAACAGAAGTATTTACCTTAGGGAAAAAAAAATGAAAATGGACTATTTGGACACAACCATATTAGGGCATCTGTATGTTATCTAAACCACAATTTTCATAATTGAAGTTACAAAGTAAATTAAGCCAGGTTACGATAGTGTGCATTCAGGCGGTTGGTCAAATACTATCAGTTCTACTTACTGTCTTAAAAAGTTCAAATTATGGCATAATACTTAACTCATTTGGTTCAGAGATAGAACCGTTTGACAATCAAAGTTCAAACGGGAAAAACGACATTAACAATGCCAAGCAGACTTGTGATCTTTAAAGACCAAAAATAACTGACTTTTAGCAATCTGTACTTACAGCTTCCATTGGAGAAACTATTTCTGAATCCTTTAGAGCAGCACCCACTATTACCAAACCATTTTTCAGTTCCTCCAATGAAACAGTTCTGTTGTTCTCTACATCTAACATTCTGAACATTTGTTTGAGCTCAGCAATTTCTTCCAAAAACAAATGTTTAGATAATAACCTGCATTTTGCACACAATAATGGGTTAGTTATAACTCCAGATCAAATCGATCACTTTCACTAATCATAGAGTTTTCACATTTTTTATAGTTCCTCGTTCTTAATCATAGAAGAAGATCCAAATAAGATATTAAATTTGTACGAACCATGTTTCACCTAACAGAAACCTAGATTAAGGGAAGAATTAAACCAACAGAACAGGAGAAAAAGGGGGGCTAAAAGCCACATACCTCAAACCACCTCTTTTTTCTTTTTTTTCCATTGGTTTAAAGTCTTAACCGTTACTTGTTAAACCTGCAATATACAATTACAATATACCAAATGGTAAGCTCTTTCTGCACGGGAAAACAACATCAAAGAAGCAAGAGAAAATGAAAAATGTTATGCCATTATGTGACTACCAACTCTGATGAAAATGCTGAAATTGGCCGAGTTTGCATTGTTACATACAAAATACAAGGAACCAATGAACAAAGTACAACCAAAATAATCAGAGAGTCACCCAGACAAAGATCTATGCCAACAAGCTGTAAACAAAAAATTCACATGAATAAAGCAAAGGTAAGACGCCTGATTGCATTAAAAGCTTTCTTGTTGCTGTGGATGTTTTTAAGGTCAGAAATCAAATTGGTAGTATAAACCTTGGTAATCTCTAAACTTTGGCCAACTTCATTGTTACCTCCCATGTAACCAGTTTCAGAATGCAAATTCTTTACTCCTTTGAACTCCCCAGCAATTAAAGCAACTCTAATAACATCCACCTGAAAATCAACAGAGAAGAAAACATCTTAACCTTGGACAAATTCTTCTTTTAAATCCAAAGTTAATTTAAAAGAGACTACAAATTAAATATGATTAATCAATACTAATTTATTTACCTGAACATCAAACATGTTGGTATCAAACTCCAACACGCCTTAATCTTCGCGTTATTGGACTGCAACAAACCTTTATGTAGTCACTACATCATTAATGCTGGCTTTACCATCAGTTGTGTGTTCCAATTGTTTGCGAAATGAAAGAAAAGCTATATCAGGGATAAATGATTCACACAATCTCTATTGTTCTGTTCAAAAAATTTGTGTAGCTACTGGAGAGAACTTACCCTTCCACAGTCAGGTTAGGAATAAAGTACAGTGACCTGGAACTATAAACTGCAATGTTATCATCATCGTCATCTGTAAATATAAACAAAAAAAGCAATAATGGTACCTGAATCGAGCAAAATCATGGGAAAATATGGAAATTGAACTCATCAATTGCAGTCCGTAAGTTTTCCGGCGTAGCAATCTGTTGTAGTGCTTCAATGCCTGCACATCCCTCCAAGCTTTGTAGGGGCTGGAGGCGGTGACCAGAACACACGATTCCTTCCTTCCTTCAGTTTCAGTAAAGGCGGTGGCCGGAAGACCGATGGCCGCAGATGATACTGAAGCTCCGGCGTTGCAATTCAAATTGGAAAATCAATCGTTGTGACCTCTCGCAAAGCGTATTGCGTTTGCTAACTACATATTTAATTGTAATTTAATCAGAATACCAATCTAATAATACCAATTTAATAAATTAACCAGAAAAATAGAGGCCGAAGGTGTCCGACGGTGAGGCTCCTCGACCACCACCGGCTGTGAGGGGGGAAAAAAAACTACCAGGAAGTCCAATTAGTGATGGAATCAATAAGGCTTCCTTCTTTCAGACACACATCAAATCCAGGACGAAGATCATGTCCCCAAATAAATAGACGTCTGAGTTTTCAGCCGCGTTGAACTTCCCTGGCCAATTGCCGCGGTGTTGTAAAGGAAGAGAAGGGTGGCGATGAATTCGACGACGAGGGAACAGTAGAAGGGCCAGAGGTTTGACCTTGTAACGGATTGGGAACGATTTGCATAGGAGGAAATCAATTGTGCGGCTGCTGACTACGGTCCAGTAGACTGGATAGTCCAATTGAGATTTTAGACTGGATAGTCCACTTATGAAATGTTTATTAAGTTATTCACTTATGTAGAAATCGGAAGCAAATGGTATCCGGCCCAATAAAATTTAGTATGTAGAAAATCTCAATTTAAACAAATTACTTGTGCCGAAACTGTACCCATCTGAAAATATATCATCAGTGGCAGAAATGAGGTATAGATTTGTGTCGTGTTGGTAGTCCTTTTTCTTCCTTTTATCCTTTATTCATCCATGTAGAATATTAGTTACGAATGTACAGAGAGCTCGTATATCATTTGTTATTACGCTACTGGTCTAGTGTATCTAGTCTGCTTAGATTCTTCTCGCTGATCCACAAATGCTTCTTTTAATTGTACCTTGTTAAGGGATTTTGTTTTCCTGCTTTAACTAAGGCTATATTGCACTCAATTCACTTGTTCAAATTTTTATTCTGCTTTAACTAGTGATTCCTCACAATGTACAACTCAATTTCACCGCAAGAGCTCTTTAATTATGTTGTACGGAAATAATTCAACAATTAAAATTGCTTCTTTTATATATATATATATTTATATATAGACAAAGTAAAAGATAAGCAATTAACGTTAGTTGAAACTAAGGGCTTGTATGTAAGTTGCATTATCTTCTTCACCGGGAATTAATAGTGAACTATTTAGAAACTAAAAAAAATATATAATACCTTTTAAAATTAAGAAATCAACATTTTATATTAGGGTGGGAGAAATTACGATAACATACTAAAAAATGTTGACGAAAATGAAACAGTGGGCCAGCTGTCGGTAGTTGACCAATGGAAACCGTAAAGGTCACAAGTTTCATACTATTACATAAGTTTTACCATAAAAACCTAATAAGAAATTAATAAATGAAAAAGGCAAAAAGACTACATAAATGGAGTGTCTGCATTGCGTAGCCGGCCGGCAGCGGCTGGCCGGCCTCCTTGGCTCTCTCTTTCTCTCCTCTCTCTCTTTTCCTCTTTAATTAAGAAATTGAGAGAGATATGCTCATGTTGTCATGCATTTGTAACTAAACAAACAGATCTTCACTTTCACATATTTTATTCTCTATAAATAACCGTTCAAATCTTTGAACAAAAATTCGTAAACCATTTTCTGTATTACTCATCACCCCTGAAAATTGTAGAAACGAAACGAACCGGAGATATGCGTCAGGCGGGGACTTATTCCGGGATACTTTCAGGTGGGATTTCGGGGAAAACCGGACCACATTCATTTCCGTTGGCGAGGATCAAGAAGATCATGAAGAAATCGGGCGATGACGTGAAGATGATCTCAGGGGAAGCACCCATTGTTTTGTCTAAAGCTTGCGAGCTTTTTGTGGAGGAAATCACGAGGAGGGCTTGGATGATGACGATGCAAGGAAAGAGGAGAACTCTTCACAAAGAAGATGTTGCTTCAGCTGTTATTGCCACTGATATCTTTGACTTTCTTGTTACTTTGGTTTCTTCCGATCAGAATCCTGCTAATACTAGCAGTCAGACTGATCGGGTGACTGGTGCCGGGACGCCACCACCAGCGGGCGTTATGGATTTGGAAAGATGAAAATTAACCAGTACTTTCTTTATTAATTTCTCTCAATATGTATTTCATGTTTAGGGTTTCATTTTCCCCTTTATATAACCTTAGTTAATAAAAGTTTACCGTCAAAATTGCATTTTCTTATGACTTGTTTTGTGTCATTCTAGCTACTTGAACTATGTATTCCTTTTGTTCCAAAATTATTGTCCAGTTTAAGATTTCACTTTTAGTACAATTTGAACTAGAAATGAAAACCTAAACTGGACACTAATTATAGGACGGAGGGAGTATATGTCTTGTCTTGTCTAATCATTCATCTTGTTGCTCTGAAGGATTGTAACATTGAGTTTCTTGTTCGTTGTAAGTTTGGGGTCACATCTTAAGAAAATGTAGCTTAGTTGTTGGCAAGTAGTCTCGAGTTGATTATTCAGTTACTGGTTGTTATTAATTTGTTATGCCCTAAAAAAATAAATCAGTATTAACAAAAAAACAAATTCAATACAAATTTTATAAATATATTCACTTTGGCCAATGATTTCGGTTCGGTCATTTAACCTTAATCTTCAAAATACTTTACTTGTATAAGTTTGATTACTTGGTTTTATATGCGAATGAAGGCCAAACCTGGCAACCATACAAAGGACGACAACAGTTACTAACACTTTTGACTATAATGGCTACTATTTGGAAAGATAATGAAAATTCGTTACCGCTCTCTTTCTTTTACGTGTATCTCCCTCTACTATATGCTCTTTTTATCATAAAATTATTATTTAGTTTGAAATTTCATTTTCAGTGCAAATTAAACTGAAAGTGAAAGTTCAAATTAGACAATAATTTTAGAACAAAGGGTCTTACCCATATATTAAAGGACTTACCCGATGATGCGAGTTTGATTCTCGTAGCAGAATCCAAATTTATAACATGTAAGGAAATAAGACGTATTAAAAAAAAAAGTAAAAACTTAATACATGAAAAAGAAAAGTACTTATAAATGAACTCGAGTTTTTTTGCGACACTTTCTTGGGTTATTTCCTTGATTTCATCTATAATCAGGACGTTAAACTAACTTGTATATCCGAGGTCCAAGCATTATCAAGATCCAGCCCGAGTTAAGAAAAATAAACCAAAGATTGTTAAAACAAAATAAAGTCGACAATTTTGTAATCTTGTACCGTAAATATGACAATTATTTTAGTAGAAATGGTATGAAAAAAACCCTCCAAAAGGAAATAAAGATTAAAGTCCCCTTGAAGGCTTGAACCATTCCTGGGCTAATTTTTTTTCTTAGTGAAGATTATTGGGCTAATACCTTCTCATTAATGTCTTCATTATTAGGGATGGGCTCAAATCTTTTATTGGGCTGATACAAAATTCAAAATTCAAAAACCAACACACTTTACCATAATTTCTAAAATAACCCTTCATCTCTATCAAAATCCTCCAAACTGCCTAAAGTTGTTTTTTAGGCAGTCCCCCCCTTTGTTAAAAAAAAGAAAAACAAACCCACTCTGCAACAAACACAAGCTTGCGAAGCGCTTCTTCACACATTAGTTTTCTCAGTTCGAAGATCCAATCCATAACCGAAATTAGGTTTCCGCCGATATATTTCCTCAACTTCTTATTTTATAGATGCATAATCGAGGGAGGTTTCCACCGGGTATTGGCAACGGCCGCGGCGGCGGAGGTGGTCCTGGCGGTGGTGGAGGTGGCTACGGGACAGTAAACCCTAACTATAACGGCAATTCTGGTTACCAGAACCGGAATCCTCACTATCCACAACACCAATTTCAACAGCAGTATGGTCACAGACCGGCGCAGAATCAGCAATATCACCATCATTTTCAGCAGCAACAGCAACACCAGCAGCAGCAGCAACAGCAACACCACCAGCAGCAGCAACAACAACAACAACAGCTCTGGCTGAGACGGAACCCCAGCGCAACCGCCTCTGATTCTTCCGCTAATGAAGTTGAGAAATCTGTACAGCCCGTCGCTTCTGATTCCAGGTATATTTTCATTCGTTTTCGTGTGATTATGGGAAATTTGGTTGCATTGTTATCTGTAGTTTTCTAGTTTGAGTGTCATATTTATTTTTCCCACCATGTTGGAGTTTTCTTTTCCATTGTCGAGGTTTTGTTAATTGCTCATGCTGTGTGTAATTGGTGTTTATCTTTTTGGTGCAGTGGTGAAATTATTGTGAGGCCTGTATGTTATTGTGCCTTAGAGGAAATTAGTTTGCTGATGTGCTCTGTTGTTGTAATGGTTGTACGTTGTGGAATAAGATGTTAATAGGTGAATCATTATTCTCTGTTTCTGGGCTAAGCTTAAACTTTGGTTCCTCAAGCTGTGATAACTTCTTTGAATTGGCTTTGATGAGTGATTCTGAGTTTCAGATTGTTAGTTTTGATGACAAATTCTCAAGCACTCTTGTAATAGTGTAGTGTTTACGTCATATAATTAATGATGAGGAAGTGACGAATTTCTGCATTTTGATCATTTTAATTTTTGTTAGCCTTATGATGAACTTTTGGGCCCATTATTTCCTTATTTGTTTACATAGTTTTTTTAGAATGTTGCTGTTGTGGTCATGCAGCATCAACTTGGCCATTTCTTTGGTTGAGTTTTTGAAAGGTCTCACATCTGATTGTTTTAAGTCTTAGTATTGTGTTCTTTTCTCACGTTCTGATTACCAGTGTCTTTCTATTTGTTTGGCAAATATGTAAATGCACGCAGAAGTGTCATGTATAGGATGCTATTTTCAATGGCCTACCAACTGAAGTTGTCTTCCTGTTGCTGAATACTTCATGAAGCTATTATTGTTTTGAGGTTGCGCTTCCTTTTTCAGTTGGCTTATGTTTCCTTATTTCCATGTCTCAGCTCACAAGATTGGAAGGCTCAATTAAAGTTACCACCAGCTGATACTCGTTATAAAACAGAGGTATGCCTGAATGCCTTCTTTCTCTAAAACTATCTTCTAGTCAATTTAGTTTGTGCTTCAGTTGTTTACCACCTTGATTTTAGTATCTTAGGCTCTGTAGTACGCTCTGATCATAGTGACCAATCTACATATTCAAGAATGTTTATTTATTCATTTTTTTGTCAGCTAAAGTCCTAGCAAGTGCTTTCTGAAGAAATTGTATTCCTCCCAATAATATAAATGGTCAATTGGGCACAAACACACAGGGAAAAGTTTTGAACTCAGCGCGTTTCTTGTGCTTTACAGGATGTTACCGCAACTAAAGGAAATGAATTTGAGGATTACTTCTTGAAGCGTGAATTGCTTATGGGAATATATGAGAAGGGTTTTGAAAAGCCTTCTCCCATCCAGGAAGAAAGTATTCCTATTGCTCTCACTGGAAGCGACATTCTTGCTAGAGCAAAAAATGGTACTGGAAAAACTGCCGCGTTTTGTATCCCTGCATTAGAGAAAATTGATACAGATCACAATGTTATTCAAGGTATTTCCTTTTCCCTATGTTATGCTTCAAATGAACTTGCTATAGTTTCCTTTTCTTTTTTTTTTTACCACTGGAAATTGTTGATTGTAGTGATCATTAATTCCTGAGATTGTGGGTCAGCACTTCTCTGGTAGTTAATGAAGAAAAGCTATAAAAGAAACCTGAAATCATAGTTTTTTTTTTTTTTTTTTCTTTTCCTTCGTATCTATCTGTAAGTGACGGCTTATGTTAATTCTCAATGCAGTTGTAATACTTGTACCAACAAGAGAATTAGCGCTTCAGACATCTCAAGTGTGCAAGGAGCTGGGGAAGCACTTGAATATACAGGTTATGGTTACCACTGGAGGAACCAGTTTAAGAGATGATATAATGCGTTTGTATCAACCAGTACACTTGCTTGTTGGTACTCCTGGCAGAGTTCTCGATCTTGCCAGAAAAGGCGTGTGTGTTTTGAAAGATTGTGCAATGCTTGTTATGGATGAGGTATCTTCTAAAATTCTGTGTCTGCATTTTCCGTGTTTTCTAATATCATCTCTGATGCTAATGTGTAACCACGTGTGATGCACATCTATCTCTCCAGTGGAGCTATAGTCTTGTGCCTTCTATCGTTCTCATGTATCGGCGTTTGTTTTTGCCTGCGATTGCATGTTCATTCATGTACACTCCTTACTATTTTTGTGATGCTATAGCTTATTTCCCAAACCATCAGACTTTGTAATTTAGTTTTGTGTAAATTGGCTTGTATGTGTACTTAATGAAAATATCATTCTTCCTTACCTATTTTTTATGGAGGAACATCTTCTGCTCTCTGAAGTTTACTGGAACTTTTGTTTTACAGGCAGATAAACTCTTATCCCCAGAATTTCAACCTTCTGTGGAGCAGTTAATATCCTTTCTTCCTGCTAATCGACAAATCTTAATGTTCTCGGCTACATTTCCAGTGACCGTGAAAGATTTCAAGGACAGATATCTAAAAAGACCCTATGTTATTAATCTCATGGATGAACTTACGCTCAAAGGTATTACACAGTTTTATGCTTTTGTGGAAGAAAGACAGAAGCTTCATTGCCTCAATACTCTTTTCTCAAAGGTTGGAATCTGCTCTCTCTCTCTCTCTCTCTCTCTCTCTCTCTCTTACAAACTCATTTTGTGCATTGCTTTATTAACAGCTACAAATAAACCAATCAATTATCTTTTGCAACTCTGTCAACCGAGTGGAGTTGCTTGCAAAGAAAATTACGGAGTTAGGTTATTCTTGCTTCTATATTCATGCCAAGATGTTGCAAGATCACAGGAACAGAGTGTTTCATGATTTCCGCAATGGTGCTTGTCGGAATCTTGTATGCACTGGTATGATTGTGTTTCTTTGTTGTAGTCAACTCTCTGTTGCTAATATATAATCGATTAAGCTTTCACATGTTCTGGGATTTGACATATGGATTGCATATACTCTTATTGTGGTTAAGTATGCTATCACCTGTATAAAAGGATCCTAATCTTAGTGTCCTTTCAATGTTGACAGATTTGTTTACCCGGGGAATAGACATTCAAGCAGTAAATGTTGTGATAAATTTTGATTTTCCCAAAAATTCAGAGACCTATCTACACAGGGTAATGTATATGAGATTTTAGCTTGCAGAGTATACTGGTTTCTACTTTTCATTTGATTGCTTGGATTTCTGTTTCAGGTCGGTCGTTCTGGACGATTTGGGCATCTTGGGCTCGCCGTGAACTTGATAACATACGAAGACCGTTTCAATTTGTACGTCTCTTTCTGCATTCGCAGCCTTAAAGGCTATAGTTTTGTTGCTGGATTAGTATTTGGTTCTTGAGTAATGAATCAAACTCTTTCTTTCTGTTTCAGGTATAGGATAGAGCAAGAGCTTGGAACTGAAATAAAGCAGATTCCTCCTCATATAGACCAAGCGATTTACTGCAGGTGACTTATGTAGCTGATAGTGGTGAGAGAGAAAAACTAGAGCTAACTATTCAGGAATGTGTATCTCGGCTTGCCATGGTGAAAGAGCGAGCCATAAGCTTAAGCACAATTTGGGCTACATGTTAGCATCTTCTCCAGTGTCTGCCGGGGGGGCGGGGCATCATTACAACCCTGAAGATTGGATGTTCTGAATCAGAATGCAGTCCCAGTCTTTGTTTGATTTTTTTGTTTTTCTTTTTTTCATCAGAATGCACACTGATGAAATTGTGTAGGATTCAAGCAGCACATTGCAAGATGATGTGGGTTTAATTTGTTATGGATTTTCTTTTGGGTGGGGGTGGGGGAGAGGAGACTTCTTTTACACGATTCATAAACATGGTTATCGAGCAAATCTTAGGTCCTGTATCGTTTGAACTTTTTCTATCATAGTTATTCCTGGACCCTGTTTTGACCTGGTTTATGTTTTTTTGGGCTCGTTTTTATCCGATAAACTTTTCTTAGGTTTATTTTTTGTCATTTTTTTTTATATTCTCTTTGCCTTGAAATTATTGTTCAATTTGAATTTTCACTTTTAGTTTATATTGCCCGAAACTAAAAGTAAAATTCAAATGAGAATAATTTCGGAACAAGAAGTATTTGTTTTAGATCGAAACGAAATGATTCTAGCGCTGAGCAGGGTAGTCTTTTCTGGCCTAATGCTTCCAAACAAATCAAAATGCATAGAGAATCATTTAAACCAAACACTAATTATTTACTTATCAAGACGACAACCGCACAAACATAATCTATAGTATATATTAAGGCTCTGTTTGGTTGGATTGAATTGGAATTACAATTGAAAATGACATATTAGGATTGTCATTCAATCATAATTCCTTTGTTTGAGAGATCCTATGAATTTAGTATAATTAAGATTTTAATACCAATTCTTGCGTTTGGATGTTTAGGAATTTAGATAGTTTAGAATTGTAACTTTTTTTTTTTTTTTTGTTTAAGAATTGTAACTTTAATTGCATAATTTTTTTTTAATCAAATTCCTATATTTCTTGTTATTTAGAGACTTTATAATCTTAAAAAGTTAAGTCAAAATAAAATTGAAACAAAACTTTGTTATTAAATAAAAGGCTATGACTTCTTTATGTTATTATTTTGACCGTTTTGGATCCATAGTAAATTTGGTTTTTAGAACATTGATGATTCATCTCATAACACATCAATATAATCATATTTCATCCAAGCGACTAAAGCGAACAAATAATTTACTTGAGTGATTAACATTTTCCGTAATACAAAACGGTACTTATCTTCTCGAAGCTAAATGGCACGAATATGATAGATATCCAACTAATTAAGTTTTGCATACTTTAAATTTGGACAGTAATTCTCCTAAAAATATCATGCCATGAAAGAGATCCCTTCATCATTCATTCTAATGATCCCTTCATCTATATCCGGTTCTTGGCTCATAAACCTTGAAGAAAAGAAACAACCTTGAATAAATCCAGACTAAAATACCACTATCACCATTAATTACCCTTGTGGAGCTGTACGATAAGCCACCGTTGTTTCATTTCAACTGTTGACAACCCAACAAACTGTCATATAATCTCTGATTGTCCATCATCAAATCTAGGGCTTTGAAGGTTTGCATCTCGTCCAAGGAGACTACCTTCAATGCTTCAAGTATATCTTCCGGTGTAGTTTTTTTTGTAGCAACCAATATTTGTCTCTCAGTTACCATAAACTCACCAAAGTTTTCAGGAATTTGCTTCATGAAACCACACATTATATTTGATGAACTCGGTTTCTTTTTCATACCTTGAGAAGTAGAAGAAGATGCAGCTTCTTTTCTCTTTTGATATCCCAACATAAGTCTCATGATCTTATCTTCCTCGCAAGTCTCAAATGGATCTCCCAAATTAACATATTCCTCTACTGTTTCTTCAGCATTCATCTCCCTAAGAGTGTGGCCACCTTGCCCATTAGCACGGTCTTGTGTGAGAAGATTGTGCAAATTTCTTCCCAATTCTTAACTATAATCTTCCTTCTATAGGGTGCAAGTTTAGGGTTTGCCTTCAAAAGAAAATTTATAAATCAGAATGTAATGAGCAACCATGCATCAAACAACCACACGAAATTAAAACCCATATAGTGAATACAAAAGCAGCTGCACGTAATGAATACAAAATTAGCAAAGATAATTAGACTAACAACAGTACTAGTTGATTGATGACACATAATAGCATCATTGATATAAGAAGAAGTATAACATTGGCACTAAAACGTTCATAATGCCATTCAACAGTGAAACAGCCAGGAACAAAAAGCAGAGAAACTATCAAAACTTATGCTTATTAGATTATGCACGGAAAAAGGGATGTCATACAAACTGAGACCTCAATATTGAAAATAGAGTTACCTCTACACGTTCATTCCACACATTCTCATCATGGACCTCAACTCTTCCCTTTGAGTAATCCCATGTGATTGCAGAATCGGAGTTGCAAGAAACCAGTAAAGGCTGCAAAGTCTCATAATGCTTTTCCCAAGTCTTCAGACGAGACAAAATCTTTTTCTTATCTACTCTTACCTGTAACTTGTCGGCAAGCGCATTAATAGCAGCTGTCCAGGAAGTATTCTTCCACGCACATTTCTCATCCAAATTTTTCCCTTATTTCATTTGTTCAATGAAACACTCCCCCAAAACCTTATCCATTTCGGGGGTCCATGTGAAGTACTCTTTAACCTTTCCTCTCCCTTTAGAAGGGGATGGTGCTTGTGAATGAGGAGCCATCTCAGAGAGCTTGTATTACTCAATGGACAAAAAAATTAGCAACAAGCCAATAGCGTTGAGACAACCTACAAATGCAAGGAAGAGAAACACGTTATCATGCTGGAACAAAAGAAGAAACTAGTTTTGCTTAAAGAAACAAAAGATCAGATCATAGCATGCAGATGCAGTCCTAAGTATATGTTCCTAATTTCCAGATGCAGTCTTAAAGAAACAAACCTTTCCTAATGTTGCGTACTTTGAATTTTACATCACAAAGCCTTGTTGGATATGTTCCTAATTTCCAACTGCTACCGTCTACATCAACTAAGATCTTTCAATCCTACACTTAATTTAATAGCATGCAGATGCAGTCTTAAGTATCACCAAAGACTTCTCATTGGGAGCAAATCATGAGTATGGATTAAGAACCGTAATTTGTAGCTGTAGCTATTATTGGTACACATTACACAGGAAATTAAGGTATATTCTTTTTTTTTTTTTTTTGGTTTCGTATAATGTCCGGCAATAGAACTGGAAAATACTGCCATTCTTAGTTCACACCATGCAAAGACAAACTAAGAAACATCAATACAGGGGATCCACTGGTAGAGAAAAAATAAAAGTAAAAAAATCTAAAGCAACAATCAATCAATGAATATCGCAGCAGTAAAAAAGTATCCCCACAAGTCTTTACAATACAACATCATATGTCCAGAATAGTGAGAAACCGCATCAAAAAAAATCTGCACGTTTAAACCACTGAATGAATTGAGTACTAACAAATCCTACAACCCTGAATGAATGAAGTGCAGCAAACCTACAAGATGGCAGTATACATAACCATTTTTAATTAAACCAAGTGTCTCCATAATCATACAATGCTCAGTAATATCACAAAACAGTGTACCATTTTTAATCAGTTCTTTAAATCAAAGGATAACATAACAACATTCACATTGCAGTTAACAGCACGACCTGAACTGAAACATGTCCCATCGAATAAAATGCCCGAAATCCTATTCACTATGAATAAGAGAGAGTGCAACAGCCAGCATTGCAACAGTATTGCATGGCAAGTACAATTTAGTAACAATTACAGGCTACGTTTATTTTGATAATCACGAAACATAGTTTCAGCTAACGAATCCCTAAATCGGCTCCATTCATAAGTAGGTTGAACTACAGTAATTTGGCTGGAGTTCTGTGCAGCACCATGCACATGTGGACTGTCTTCCTCATCTTCACCACCATGCACAGGTTTAGTGTCTTCGTCATCCTCACAACCTTGAGCATTATCATCTTGGTTATTTCTAGTAAGAAGCTCCGCATCAACTTTATCCAGCATCGGCTCATTCGGAGCTTCTATCCTAATAAGGTTATGCAGCACGATACAAGCGTTGATGATTTTCACATGGGTTTTGACATCAAAAAAAGAGACTTCTCTCATGATTTTCCACTGCTTCTTCAACAAACCAAAAGCTCGTTCAACTACATTTCTCGTGGTTGCATGTCGGAGGTTAAACAGCTCTTTGGGAGTTCTTGGGTTGTTACCTCTAGCGGACCACTCATTAAGATGATATCAAACCCCTCTAAACGGAGCTAAGAACCCTAGTCCATTTGTATATCCCACGTCGACAAGAAATATTTGCCTAAAGATTTAAGTGGAGAATTTATTTCCCAATAATCTAAAGGTATGTAAGATAATGAAGAAAAAATGGAAAAAAGAAATCTGTAAATGCAACTTACCCTTGGGTACAACAAAAGGGTCAGTTCTAGTTAAGGAATCGCGCAATACTCTACTATCAGCTGCGGAACCTTCCCATCCCGGCAAAACGTAGGTGAATCTCAAATCACGGGCACACACAGCCAGAACATTTGTCGTTATCTCACCCTTCCTATTTCGGTATCTTCCTTGATCTCTTAGTGGAACGTGTTAGTTTGATATGAGTGCCATCTAATGCTCCAAGGCAGTCCGCCACCAAAAACCAAAAATGAATCTTGAGATTAATATACTAACTTCTAAACTAACCAGCAAACACGAACTATGTTTACCTCAAACCACATCCATTTTTCAGCTTCGAACCCCTCCATTTCTATTTCTTCTTGGTTAACATATTTGATTCCCATTCTTAAAATAGCATTTAACACCATGTTAAATTGACGACTGACTATCTCCCCTGATCTTATAAAATCGAAACTCACTTTTCGATTCGTCAAATTGAAAGAAAGGACATAGAGAAACATAGCTACTGCTTCTTCCACAGGGACATGAGCTGAATCTCTCAATCCTCCTAGCTCTTTTAGATTAGAGCATAAAACAGTAAAACAGTGCTTAGTTAGACGGAGTTGATCCTTACAAACTCTATCACTCCCATAATAGAGTCGCCTAAGGTATATTTTGTCGTGCTACAGAGAAGTCCAAGCTTGGCTCTTTCACCATATGCTTTTCGTGCCACATAACGGCTATAGCAGGTGCAGTAACAACTTGGTGTACGACGAATATTCTTCGCTTCTTTCTTGCGTTATCCTCGTCATCATTACGGGAGAGTTGATAATCCATGTAATCTAATTATTAACCAATAAATAAGCACAACTACCGACTTTTCTAAAGCCATGTAAATGATGCAAAATTCATCAAAAGTTTCTCTAACAGAATTGCTACAAAAAGCAAAAAGTCTACCATTACAGAAGGTAAGCAAAATTGTACAAATAGGTATATACTAAATATATACTCATTCCGTTTAAAAATTAAGAGTATAGGAAATTTTAATCAATTGACAAAGTAGTATAAAATTTAGGCTGCCATGATATAATAATGATGGAGGAGTTTAATTGAAGCTAAGAATCAAGAACAAAAATGATTAGAAGTAAACAAAGAATGTTCAATTAAGCTATAGATCAATGATTAGACTCATCACCAACTTTGAGCTTGCTTCCTTCTTATTACATTGATGGGACTGGAAACCCTTTTAAATGCTTTTACAGCTACTGAAATTGAAATGAATGAATGAACAATGGCTTCGTCTCCTTCTTTTTTTTTTTTTTTTTTTTGGGGTTCTGAACAAACAGAGTAGAAAATGACATAAAAGAGAAAAAGACATGGAGGCAAACTCTCACGTCAGAACAAAACACACACACACACTGACACACATACACAAATTCTAATAGGCAACTACCCCAATCCCACCGTCATTATTATTGTTACTTTTCCCTCTGCAGTCTGCTCTACAAATTTGATCTCTTATTCTTATCTTTTGATTTTCCCTTTAGTTTTTGCCTTATTTGTGTTGGGCATTTGGGAGTACTAAATAAATCCATTCTAATTCTATTGTACAATTTACAATTTACAGATTAAACCTCAACAAGCAATATAACTTTTCAAATGAGCATACATTGTCATCAAGTAAAAAATATCCAAGTAACCATGGAATCACAATAGAAGGTAAGCAACCACTTTGACTCCATAGTCAAAGTGGCATCAGAGAGAATCAAGACCAATGTTTCAAAGAAAAGGATTACTACTGTATCTTCTAGCATTATAACAGTTATTGCATTCAGTTGAGTCATAATTTTACTACTGCAAAATAAGCTTTAAAAAGATAATGTACAAGATGATATGGTCAATATAATGTCGTCCGCTCCTTTTTTTGTCCTTGACAAGTCCTATCGTAATACCGCTGTGAACTATCTGTGACTCTCTGCAATAAAGAACCAAGTCATCAATGTGCAACTAAGGATAGAACTATCTATCAATAGAGTTTGAAATAGATAACTCTTCATGTAGTTAAAAATACAAATCAATTTGCCAACTCAATTTAGTTAGCCCTTTCTTTTCAATAGAAGGTAAGCAAATCTTAATATATGTACAAAAATTACGGAGAGGTTCTACATACAAAAAAAAGGCCCAAAGACGTACAATAAAATAAACCTACACCGTATCAAAGGATGTTTGATGGTGAAAATCAAGGTGTGGTCTCACAAAAAATCAGCTGTAAAAGAGTCAAACGAGCTCGGATATTAGTTACGAGCATTGGCTACTGCAATTATGGTTTGCCAATTTGATTCCGTGCAAAGTTGATAGCTTAGGAAAAAAACATACAGGTGGTTCAGAGTTGCCAAGGAATCTGAGCATGTACAAGAACTGCCTTAATAAAGCTAACAACACCACAGAACGGAAAGAACAATAATCAAAACACAACAATTGAAAATTGAAATTGCATTAATATAACAATTTGTTTGGGGGATGAGAATTGCGCGGATAAAACCTAGAAAGACTAGGGTTCTCACAGAAACTAGGATTCTCACAGAAAGACTATATCAAGATAATTACGCGCATAAAACCCAGAAATATGGACTTTAAGCTAAACCCACCACATCTAATCAAAATTCAGTAGAAAACAAGCCTTAAAACGAGGTTATTCACCAAAGAAAAACGATTGCAATTATTGAAAGACCAAAAACAAAATAGATCTGGAAGAACACCCACTCATCAAATAAGGTACAAAAATCAAATATTCGGACAACCCAAACTTCAAGCAGAGCCACCATGAAACAGACGGAAATTCCGTTACCTTACCTGCTCAAAATCGAAAGAAAACTAAAGAGCCCTGCGAGCGGCGATTTCAGACGGGCTTCGCCATGAGAGGAAAAAAGGAAGAAAGAAAATAAAGAAACTGTAAAATGTGCGAATTAGAGAGAGACGTGAATTTTATCCGAACCCGAAAAAAATAAGTTGACCCGAATTTATGACCCGCGATTTTTTTAAAAGACCCTCGAATTTGAATTGTAATTATTTGCTCCCACAAAAGAATTGAAAATAAAGAATTGAGCTCCATCTTGAATTATAATTCTAATTCTGAAAGTCTATTTTTATTAGCCAAACACAAGAATTGGAATTGGAACCGGCCAATTCAATCCAACCAAACAGAGCCTAAAGTAAAATCATTTTGGTGATACTTAAAACCTGACTGTAAACCCATCATATGTGGGAAAAAATATGAATGAAAAATCAGGTTTCTATAATGTTCTGTACTCCGAAATTCAAATTCTACTCTCCTTAATCTTCTTCTTTCCTTTTTTTTTTTTTCTGAATTTTATCTACATTACAACCCTCTAATTCTATTCCATTTACAATTCCATGTATGTGTCCCAATTTACCGTAATTAAGGCATGCTTTTCAGCATTATGGACATTGATTTGTTAATGCGACCCAATATCCTAAACCCTGATCCAAAAGTCCCATTCTTCACTTGCGCCGTTCTTCATCATTTTTTTTTTTTTTTTTGGAGGAAACGTTCTTCATCATTGTTCGCAGAAGAAAAACTCTTTTGTTCTTTTTCCTCTTTCTTAATTGCTTTCTTCTCAGGTAACAATCGACATTTTTTTTTTTTTTGGGTTCAAAAATTGATCTATGTATTTTTTTTTCCCAAAATAAAATTTCATTACATTTGGATTAAGTACGTACTCTTGTTGTTGGATGACATTCTTCAACTTTTGGGTTTTCCCTTCAGCCATGGCGGATGAAGTTAAAAAACAAGTTGAAGATCTCAAAAACAAGGCTACCCTGATTAATGCCGATTCGGCTCTACTTACGGAAGCTCAACTTCGGCAGGTGTGGGATATGAAACTGAATTTGAGAGGAAAGTGAAAGGTAATTTTTGAATTTTTTTTTCCTTATTCATAATTGAAATCCTATAATGTATGGTTTATTCCCCCTTTGTTTCAAAGTGGATGACATTAACTAGTTTTTGTTTGTTTTGTTTTGTTTCTTTTTTCCCTTTGGTAATATGCATTCATACTATTTAATTAGGAATCACATCTTGTAAAGTCTCATTTGTTTCTTCATGGGCATATTCAGAAGCTTGATGCATGGTTAAAATGATATATATAGACTGGTAATAATATAGTCCGGACCAATCATCAATACAATTATGCCACGCTTAGCACACAACTTATTTACTGATAAAGTAAATAACTACACAAAAACATAATTACAATTGAAGGTGCAAATTTAATTGAAGACGGTCAAATTCATCTCTCTCAATCGTCATCATCAACTGAAACACCCAAATAATTTCTTAGGGATGGTGCCAGTGGCCTTGAATTTGGCCGCAGCTTCATCAATCTTGAGAACTTCCTCTGCTCTTTCTGCTTCAACGCTGGCCCTCTTTTCCTCAGCGGCCCGGTGAATCTCCGCCTTCTTGTTCTTCATCTTTTCCGCATATTTGGCTTTCTTTCTCTCAAATTCTTCCTGTCCATTACACATACAATTAATCCATTAGTACAAATAAATAAATAAAAAAAGGTAATGCGGGAATTCGGAAAAAAATCATTTGAATGCGTTAAGTAAAAGAATTAACCTCAATCTTCTTGAGTTGGGCATCTACTGATGCTTTCTTGGTGTTTTCCCAGGCTCCAACGGCAGATAACTTCTTATAAGCCCTGAACAAATTAAAAAAGTTCTCATAGTTGAGTATTATATCATCTTTGGTCCAGTTTACAAAATACAAATTGAATAAAAACTAGGACCTACAGAAAAGAATACAATGGAGCATATGTGTCATGCAAATTTACTTTTTTACGCTGATAAATAATAATCTGTCATAAACTTCCTCACATATAATATATCTTATCTTGGCGTTCAATGAAACAGAGATATATACATAGTAGGGAAAAAAACGAAAAAATCCATTATTACGTACTTGTTATCTGCTTTGGATTTTTCATTTTCTTCCCAAGCTTTAATCAACGCCCATCTTTTCTCCAACTCAACCTTTGCCAGAGCAGCATCTTCAAATTGATCATAATAAATTAACTACGATCAGTACTCATGAGATATTAGACACAACGACAAATTATCTCTAGCTAGTAGCACTCATATAAGGAGGTAATAAACTATTCAGTATAATTAATATTTAGAACAATCATTTTGGAACAGATGAAGTATTTACACAATGAAACCGATTTATAGTTGTTACCTCTGTCATTGGAATCCATCTTCTTCTTTTCATCTCCGGTATGATTTGCAGCAGCCTCTGCCATAATAACATTATAAAACACAAATAAAATTAATCCGGCCGGCCATCCCAAATGATAAAATGAATATAGTACTAATAATTAACTTCAGAAAAAAAAAAGAAAAAAGAAAAAAAGACACCACTAAAATGAATCTTCACATACTTTCTGCAACCGGAGGAGGAGGCTGTTTCTCAAATGGAACAAGGGCTTTCTCAGAAGAATCTTGTTTCGGATTTTTGCCTTCATTAGGAGAGGCTTCTTTGGGAGTTTCTGCAGCTACTAAGGCCAGCAAAGAAGTGTGTGATGACTTAACATCGTTTGTTTTCTCTTCTCCCATAGTTTCAAATAGTATGAGTAAAAAGCCAAAGCTTTAGAAGATAAAAAAGATAGGGAAATTGCAAAGATGATGAAAAACTATGCAACTCAAAATGCTGTTATACGAACCAAAGTCGAAGGTTATAAGTTATACAAAATGATGTGGTAGCTTGGTAGGTTAGATATATAGTTGGAAGATGACGGAAAAAGATAGATATAGTTGGTAAACTGGTGAGGTTATGTGGGTGGAGATCATAGGCAGCTTCGTTTTCGATATTTTTATGGTATTTCTTTTTATGGGGATTTGTTTAATTTAATGTATTGCTTTATTTTGCTTACTTTTGTTAATTATAGTTTATTTCCATTTTCTTGGGGGGACAGTTTCATCTTTCTTGTCATCTCCACTCATAAACAACGTGGGAAAAGGAAACAAGAACTTTCAATGAATAAAGGTACGTACTTTTTTTTTTGGTAACATTTGTAACCTTTTCTAGGGCAAATCATGGAGGTTTCTTTTTTCAGAAAACAATTTATTAATGTATCTAATCATATATAGAACTTTAACCCTTCAGCGTAAGGAAATAGCTAGATAAATGTAAATTGATGAGAACTCCCTCCATTCCAAAATAAGTGCCATTCTAAAGTTTGCATACATTTTAAGAAACACTCAAATAGGGTAGTTAAATTACTAGAATATACTCAACTAACCCCATTAAAATAATACTCATCAATAATATTATTTTGTTTGAGAGTACGTGTGGAAATTTCAGACAAAAAATGTATTGGAATCCGAAAACGACTCTTATTTTAAAACTTTTACATTTTGCTAAAACGATGCTTATTTTAGAATGGAGGGAGTATTATTAAAACCTACCCAGTTTGATGACAATTACGTACGCAAACTTTCTTGTTGTCAAAGGTGAAATAATGTGTGTGTGTGTGTTTGTTACAATATGAAGCATCAGATTTCTTCAAGAAAATAAGGCAGTTTCTATTTAGAAATTTGCCAACTTAGGAAGATTATATGATCAATTCATTAAACAAAGGGGAAATCTGATGCAGATTTAGATTTTAAGATAAGGCAAGAAATATAGGAAATGAGGATGCTGTATTATTAACATTTCTGATTTGTTGTGTGCTAAAAGAGTAAAATATTTGGAGTAAAAGTAATGGATATGGTTGGAACAATGTATCTATTTGCCATTCTGAAAAGATTCTGATCCATCTTTACTAATTTAATTTCACACACACACGACACAAAAACAAAAAAATTTACATTTTAACTTGGCCGGCTTGATAGGACTACATGCCATGTTACTTCAATCTAAGACAAAATAGTACTGTTCCATATATTTATAAAAAAAAAATAAAAATACTGTACTATCGTTCTAAAATTAAAAAATTCGGTTTATTTGTACTATTTTTTTTTTACGGAACTAAATTATTAAATTATATAATTTAGTCTCAATAAAATAAATTAATTTCTATTTTGGTTTTCCAAACAAAATTATAACTAGTGCTTTTTCTTTCCTTTTCTTTCTAATGGTTTTGAAACGATGGATCCCATTTTGTTAACCACTCTTCTAAATGCAACTTCAAAGAGACAGGAGGAAAAATTACAGGCTTTGCTTTTTCTGGGAAAGAACAGTTTGTTGGCCTTTTAAACTACTTTTAGCATTCCAAAGTCAACTTTCGGTGGTAACTCTGATTGTCTTTTCCCTTTAATTAGTTTCGGATTAAGTAATATATTTGGACTGAACACTAACTTCATACATACTATTAGTCAAGAAATAAAATAACGGTTAAAAAGTTTAGTCTAACCGACCAAATCAAGAATCCCAAAGATGGAATCTCAGGTCCGTATTCCATACTAAGAAGACTCCTGCTCCTTTCTTCAAAGAAATATCCGAAGACAGAAAGATTAATAACAATTCCTTTTCATTTCTTCTTTTCGAGGACCCCAATTGATCAATCTGAATCCGAATTATTCAGAACAGTAATTTCAGATATCAGGTAATATTTATATACTAAAAAATAATATTTCTGTTGGGTTTCATGCATATAAAAACATAATACGCAGCGGATCAGAACACGAACCTAGCCATAGATCCATGCAATTATTATCACACTAACGGTATTGAGTACCTTTCCCCGAAGATTGCTTATACACTACTTGAATCACGAAAGAGCAAGAATAGTTCTCCTCTACCAGTATCCACTCGATCGTTGGACTGCTCTTGGGTATCTCACTCGGCGGCTTGCTAGCGACGGCGAAGTAGATGCGGCTCTGGATAACAACGCCTGGAAGTGATTATGGTTTCTCCAATATTATCTATTGATAATACAATAATATCGAAACCCTAATGACTATAATTACTATTATAACCTTGGTCTATTTAATTACGAATTAACTTTTAAATGTAATTAAATCAAGCCCAGAACATAAAACCTAAACCAACGACCTATTGAGTGCGGTCCAATAGGTTCTCATAATCTGGTAGTGACAAAATCTGTTTGGGCTCAGGGCATAAACCAACAATCTACCATTTGCACTGAGACCACTCATCAAAATTACAAATAGTGAGCGGTATCTAGTAACATATCACTGCTACCCAAATTACGAGAATTTTGGTGATTCCACACAACCTTTGTCAATGACAACATATTAGTGTATCAGTATCCCTTTGTCCTTGATATATAGATTAAATGCAAGCCATGGAAAAAGTCACACTTGTACCCATTCAATCTATAAGCTTATGATATCATTCTTTTTAGGATAGACAGATCCTATCTTGATCAACCACGTTCCTAACACTGACTCAGAGTATACCCAATGACTATCTCAAGTCGAAGGCCTACAATTATTATTATTATGATGAAAATACTTTATGACAATTATAAATCCATGTAGTATTCTCAAGACAGGTCGGTCAAATACACAAGTTCTCTAACTTTGTACTCATATGTTGACTTGATATCACATATCCATGATAACCTTTTGTCATCAGCCATAACACACACTAGTCTTATTGCATTATTATTGTCCTACCCACAATAATACTTTAACTAGGGACATTTAAGAATAGTTGAAACGATTTTCATTATTGTAAGGACTTTATTATGAATAATGTGAACACGCAGATATTCAAAACATAACCACAATAATAGGAAAAACCTTTAAGTAACATGATAATTGTAAGAAATAACATTTATCCAGAATAATTAAAATATACACCGACAATTCTCCCACTAAACTTAGCACATATACTAAGACTATATAGCAACATCTTTAATTCCCATGGAAACAATATGACGATCGTGCTTCTGTTGCGCCAGAGGCTTAGTCAGCTGTTTGGCGACATTATCATCAGTCGGTATTTTGCATATTTTCACATCTCCTCGATCGATAATCTCTCGGATGAGATGGAAGCGACGAAGCGCATGTGTGGACCGGCTGTTTGTTTTGGGAACCTTAGCTTGTGATATAGCTCCAATACTGTCACAATAGAGTTACTGAATTAGCTATGCTAGGAACCACACCAAGCTCAGTGATGAACTTTTTCATCCAAACAACCTCCTTTGCTACTTCACAAGCAGCAATGTACTCGGCTTCTGATTAGAATCAGCTACTGTTTCTTGCTTAGAACTCCTCCAACTCACAACGCCGCCATTCAAACAAAACACATATCCTGATTATGATCAGAAATCATCCGCATCAGTTTAGAAGCTCACATCTGTATAACCTCTTATAACAAGCTCTTCTTCACCACCATAGACTAAGAATTTTTCCTTTGTCCTTTTCAAGTACTTAAGGATGTTCTTGACAACTACCCAATGAGAGCTACCTGGGTTGGATTGGTATATGCTCGTAACACTCAAAGCATATGAGACATCTGGTCGAGTACATAACATGGCATACATGATATAACCAATCGCCGATGCATATGGTATCTTACTCATGCTTTCTTGCTCAAATTGTGTCGAAGGACACTGATCTTTTGAGAGTTTGATACCATATGACATTGGCAAAAATCCCTTCTTGGAATCCTGCATACTGAACTTTCTCATAACTTTGTCCAGATATGTACTCTGACTTAAGCCAAGCAATTTTCTTGATTTATCTCTATAGATTCTCACACCTAATACATAGGTGGCTTCGCCTAGGTCCTTTATCGAAAAACAATTCCCGAACAAGTCTTTACGGACTTTAGTGCAGGAATGCCATTCTCAATGAGTAGTATGTCATCTACATACAATATGAGAAAAATTATTGCGCTCCCACTAACCTTTTTGTAAACACAAGACTCATCTCCGTTTCTAAGAAAACCAAACTCTTTGATTGCATCATTAAAACAAAGATTCCAACTCTGAGATGCTTGCTTCAATCCATACATAGATCGTTGCAGCTTGCATACTTTATTAGCATTGTTGGCATCGACAAAACCTTCAGGCTGTGTCATATACACATCCTCCTGAAGATGTCCATTAAGGAAAGCTGTTTTGACGTCCATTTGCCAAATTTCATAATCGTGTTATTCTGCTATGGCAAGTAGTATTCGAATGGATTTGAACATCGCAACAGGTGAAAAGGTTTCATCATAGTCAATACCATGAATCTATTTATAACCTTTAGCAACCAATCGCCCTTTATAGGTATGTACATTTCTATCCTTGTGTTTCTTTTTCTTAAAAACCCATTTACATCCTATGGGAATCACCCCTTTAGGTGGGTCAACCAGAGTCCAAATCTAGTTAGCAGACATGGAATCCATCTCGAATCTCATAGCTTCATGCCATTTCTTAGAGTCTGAGCTATTGATTGCCTCTTTGTAAGTTCTAAGCTCATCATTATTCATGAGCATAACATCATCCTGATTTGTAACAAGAAGTGCATATCTCTCTGGTGCATGACGTGAGCATTCAGACCTACGCAACGGTTGTGTTTCTTGAGCAAGTTCATGTTCCACAGCATTTTGTGGGATTTGCTCACATTCCATCTCTATTTGTGGCTCTTGAGCTTCATGAAGTTCAATTCTTCTCCCACTTGTGTTTTTAGAAATAAATTCTTTTTCTAGAAACACACCATTCCAAGCCACAAACACTTTGTACTCAGTGGGATTGAAAAAGTAATACTCTTTGGTCTCTTTAGGGTATCCCACAAATAAATACTTGTCAGATTTAGGTCCTAATTTTTCTGAAGACTGACGCTTCACATAAGCTTCACATCCCCAAATCTTCATAAAAGACATACTAGGACGCTCCCCAGTCCACATCTCATGTGGTGTCTTTTCAACAGACTTAGATGGAACGCGGTTTAGTGTAAAACCCGTTTTCTGAAGAAATTGTCCCCAAAAGGAATTAGGAAAATCAGCATGACTCATCATAGATCGAACCATGTCTAACAAAGTTTGATTTCTCCTTTCAGAAACACCATTCCATTGAGGTGTTCTAGGAGGAGTAAGCTGCGAGACTATCCCACAGTCTTTTAGAAAGTCATGAAATTCTT